TCTCAGGGACCAAGATGCTAAGGCGCAGCTGTCCCTTACGAGTATCATTGCTTCACAATCAAGAGGGGCATCTCAGTGAAGGCAAACAGACACTTCAATACGAACCCATACCTCACCTCCACATCACAGCGGTACAAGTGCTTTAAGATGACTTGACGACTTGAGCCCAAAATGGCTTGGGTGCCGACATGCTCTGGTTCAGAAAAGCTTCGAGAAGCCTTCAGGTTAATGGGAGTATTCAAAACCAAACTATAATGTTATATATATATATGCATGCATTCGTACGTACATACATACATCATGCCTACATACATACCTTCATACATGCAATTATACTGCTTATGCCCCACATCACTATCCGCCATTAAGAAACGTGTGATTTGCTGACTGCGTGATCGTAACGATAATAAAAGGAAGAACACGATGATGATGATGATGATGATGATGATGATGATGATGATATGATGATGATGATGATGATGATGATGATGATGACCAATACGAAAGAACTGCAATCCCTCATGTTTTTCAGCAACAGCCGGTAACTGACCTGATGAATTCTGTCAGGTACGGTAGGAACATCTTTGCACCCTAAACCGGTAGATTCGGGATTTGGTGAAATTCCATGCACGGCTCCAGCGGAGTTTCAAGGTGGAGGTGTTAGACTGTTAGAAAGGTTGGGGTTGGAAGCTTAGGGTGTAGTTTAGGGTTCTTCAAGGTTTAGGGTTCAAGTTCAAGGCTCGCGGTAATCAAAGGGCTTGCAGTGCAGATTAGCATATTCAGTCTAGGTATCCAGTGGAGTCATGTGTTTGCAATTTCCGCTGGATTTCTCTCACCAGCCGGATTTGGGGCCTTGGGCATCAGGTGCGTCCGGGCTCGGCTCGGCCGCGGACCGGACGGATGGGAAAGCCACCGGAAAGGCTGTGCAGCACTGGAGCGGTACTAGGGCCATGTAGAAGGGCATCAAGCCAATGAGCGATAGTGTGAAGTGGGAGCCCGCGTAAAACCCGCAGTTCTTGTAGCACACCGGGTGCCCGGCATAGCCGCAATCCGGCTCTAGGATTGCGACCGTGATGAAGCTCGCTATGGCGAAGACGTAGGACAAACTGCGGTAGACGGATGCGGGATTTCTGTCATTGCCAAGACCTACCTTTGATTTATCGTAGAAGTGCACTACAAGCCAAGCAAGGGCGCAAACAGTGGCCGCAGCTGCCAGGCAGTACGTGAAGCCTTGGAAGTGCCTGTCCCCAGGGACTACGACTTCAACGAGGCCAGCCAGGACCACCGCCAGTCCAGCAAGCCAAACTGTTGCCTTCAGACACCTTCGGCAGACGGTGTTGGGCTTTAGGGTTACAACTTACAAGGCAACACCTCCAATGATCAGGGCGTTTCAGGTGCCAAACCGTGGCACCTGAGTATGAGAACAAGACATGCTTTTTCAACACAGAACACCATGCCAACAAAAATGAATGATGTAGCACTGTTGCCCCCGGGCGCCTTACCGAGCAAAGGGCCTCCAGCGCCCCGCAGCTGGCAGTGAGCAAGCAGGCCCAAGCAAGGATGATCACGGCCTTGCTCTGGGTTGCTGTGCTCGAAAAGGCTTTAATAGTGGCTATCAATCTCAGCAGCAGGAATGTTATAGTCGTGGTTGTAGCAGCCTCCTCCTCCCTCCTCCTCCCTACTCCTCCCTCCTCCTCCCTCCTCCTCCCTCCTCCTCCCTCCTCCTCCCTCCTCCTCCCTCCTCCTCCCTCCTCCTCCTCCTCCTCCTCCCTGCTCGCCCTCCTCTCTCCCTCCTCTCCTCCCTCCTCTCCTCCCTCCCTCCTCCCTCCTCTCCTCCTCCTCTCCTCTCCTCCCTCCCCCTCCCCCCTCTCCCTCCTCCTCTCCTCCTCCTCCCTCCTCCCTGCTCGTCCCTCCTCTCCTCCCTCCTCTCTCCTCCCTCCTCTCCCTCCCTCCTCTCCTCCCTCCTCTCCTCCCTCCTCTCCTCCCTCCTCTCCTCCCTCCTCTCCTCCCTCCTCCTCCCTCCTCCTCCCGCCTCCTCCTCCCTCTTCCTCCCTCGTACATCTGGTCGTCCTCGCCGCCTGGTCGTCTCCGTTTCAACATTGCCATGATTAAGCCTTTGATGCCGCCTGCATGATTTAGGGCCTAGGGCCCAAACCCTCCGAGTTAAGGTTCAGGAAACTGATGGCCTTGCTCGTCTGGATAGCCCAGTTCCAATCGCCCGTGTACACTTGCGTGGATACCGCTGCACCGAAATAACCCACAGTAGCCAGAACGAAGAAAGCAACGTGGAGCCTGTCAGGCAGGACATGGAAGGACGCTTCAGGGGGCTTGGCGAAAGACCCTCGCCTGCTACAGTCAAGAAAGCGCCCGCAACCCTGTGACAATTGGAAGCCCTATGCAATCTCTGAAAGCGAACAACCACCCTAAACCCTAAACCCTAACCCCAAACCCTAAACCCCAAGCCCCCCGAGCCTGTCACTCCTCCCAGCCACTGACTTGTCTGTCCTGCTGCGGTAGCAGCACAGCATCAGCAGGCCGAAAACAAGGGAAGCCACGGCGCAGACGTAGAAAGTCGACAGGGTGCCAGGATGAGCTGCTGGTGTCTGCGCAGGGTCAGGGATCGGATCGTCCAGAAAGATGTAGCCATTGTAGTCGCAGGCCATGGCAACGAGGGCCTACCTCCGCACGATCTGAATGCACGGTAAGGATCCCAGCACCTGAGAATGATAGTCGTACAGCCCACCCAAGCAAACACTATCCTGCAAATGTCCTGAACCCAAGGATCCAGGGTGCTCCGTGTTTCGTGCTCCACGTGAAACTCCATTGAATCTTCACGCCTGGAAGACCATATGGGTATGTGGCCCCAAATGAGGGACCCAGAATTTAGAGAAGCACCCGCATGCTCTTGCAATGATGAAAGCTGGATCTGGTTGCGAAAAGACTTCTGGACTTCTTACGTGGTACCATGTGAGGCATGTTGTGAGATGTATGGAACGGCTGCAGAAGGGCTTGTGAGATTTACCCTAAACCCTAAACCCTAAACCCTAAACCCTAAACCCTAAACCCCTAAACTATAAACCCTAAACCCTAAACCCTAAACCTTCCTGAAGCTTCACCTGCTTGTGAACCGTTTGACTTGCCCACGGCACTTGTCTGCCCTGACATCTGTTGCGAGCCTGGCCTTGGCCCCTACACACCTTCAACCCAGGGTTTAGGGTTTAGGGTTTAGGGTGTAGGGTTTAGGGTTTAGGGTGTAGGGTTTAGGGTGTAGGGTTTACGGTGTAGGGTTTAAGGTTTAGGGTTTAGGGTTTAGGGTGTAGGGTGTAGGGTTTAGGGTTTAGGGTTTAGGGTTTAGGGTTTAGGGTTTAGGGTTTAGGGTTTAGGGTTTAGGGTTTAGGGTTTAGGGTTTTAGGGTTTAGGGTTTAGGGTTTAGGGTTTAGGGTTTAGGGTTTAGGGTTTGGGGTTTAGGGTTTAGGGTTTAGGGTTTAGGGTTTAGGGTTTAGGGTTTAGGGTTTAGGGTTTAGGGTTTAGGGTTTAGGGTTTAGGGTTTAGGGTTTAGGGTTTAAACTCTGATGCCCCCTAACTTGGCCTGAACCCAGGGGAGATTGTGTTCCAGCACTTCATGGCGCGGTCGCCAGTTGGCGACTTTGTGAGCTGTTCTGCGTGGCGTGCTCGGCGTCCTCTCTCTCAACCTCTACCTCTCGTTTGTTGCTCCATGAGCCTTCTTGGAGTTTTGCTATTTTTGACCCTTCTTCGCTGGAATAAAGCCCCGAACTCGTGAAACTTCCAAAAGCACGATTCGGCCCCTGCTGTCTTCGCGTGTGCCCCGCGTATTCTTGCTTCACTGGGTGTTGGGCTTACATGGTGTGTTCGGGGTTCAAAAAAAATAAACAAAATGCATACATTGCTTTGGCCTTCCTCCGCGATGACCTGAAAGAACACTTTTTTGTTTTCATTTGAGGTGGCAAACCATTGATATGTGCAACATTTGTGGGTTGAAAAACTTTGGTTCCTTGCGGGCTTCTCAAGTTCTTGTGATGATGACGACATCGATGCGCGTGTGGCACGCAGATGCATGCAACACTACATGACATGTGCAGAACAGCAGCAGGATGTTTTGGAACAGTCGAGAGCACTCACGTCTGGAAGCAGCGCCCCACCAAATCCACCAGCCTCGCAGGCTGTTTCACGCGGGGCTTGCCAGGCCACCCTGAAGTCAATCTCCAGTTGTACCCAGCACTTCACAAACACCTTGGGTCTAAAATACTGCCCAAAAGCTTAAACGACTGGTAGAGACCTTAGTGACTTGAGGTTTAGGGCTTACAGCTAAGCGTTTGGATGAAGCGGTTCTTATTTCAACGGCCAATCAACCTCACAGGAAGTCAAATCATCCGAATCGCAATGGCCAATCAACCTCGCAGGAAGACAAATTCTTATAACTTTGATTGTGGATTTGGGAGGGTTTCGAGATATGAGAAGGCTGCACCCGCCCCCGCCCCCCCGGAGCGGCTCGTAAATTTACGTGAGGAACAATTGCGCACCTGGGATGGAGAATTAGCTCGGTTTTTGCGGTTTAGGGCTTAGGCCCCCAAAACATAGGAACACAAGTGGGGGAGGCCTCTCTAGCACCCCTCCAGGAAAGGACAGCGGGGCATTGCCCCTACCTCTAGAAGCACGAGCCTTCAACCTCCGGTCGCTAGTTGAACCCTAACAAAAATTCCCAACAAGACCCTTCGATCAACCCCCACGCATGACGGCCCTCATGAACCTGCAAGACTCCAAACAGTCGAAGCCAGGGCACCAGCGGTACACCCGACCTGCAAAGTGTTCGTTCTCTGGAACCTGGCAGAAACTGCCCACCAACACTCATGGACTCAGACGCTGGGACATGAAAGGGGCGAGCTTTCCGGTTCTGGCAGCCCCCAACCCTAAACCCTAAGCCCAAAACCCTGAACCCTTCGCAACTTGCAACTTGAAACACTCATGCGGCGCTGGCTTTAGTTCGGTGACCCGCTATAATCACAAGTTTTCCGAAATTATTCTGCGAACCCAGTTTGTTGGCGTCACCCGCTATAATCACAAGTGCTTTCTCAGGGTTTTTCGTTTTGAAGGGTTTGTGTTTAGGGCTCATCTAAGGCAGCCGAAGCAGCAGTCTGAGATTTTTTCCTTTAAGGGTTGGGCTCCAGGAATCTTCATGCCCGAACCCGGAGAATCCAAGAAGCCAAGCAAGTCCAGTTCCATCTAAGACCTTGTTGGATTTCATTACGACATGAGGCCCCAAACAAATTTCGTGATAGGTAGGTAGCCCACGGGCCAGCCCGATTCGCTTTAGTAGGTTTGTTTGGGCACCCGCTATCATCACAATTCTTTGGTATGTTTTTTGGATTAGGAAGGCTGTAGTCTGGGGCCCCTTATTAAGCCCAGGAACGCAGGAAACCTAAGGCCTTAAATGCCTTAAAAAAGTTTTAAGGCCGTGGCTTCGGCTTCAACTCCCCCAAATTTGTTTGGGGGGGTCCGGGGACATTTCTTTATAGAGGGTCCCAGATTTGTTTGGGGGGTCCCCCCTACTAAACCGGGTGCAACATTAAGCCCAAACCGAGGAATCCGAAGGTTGTGGACAACCTCGGGATTTGGGGTTCTTTGGCTCTTTAACGGTGATGTGGCAGGGTGGTCCGAGAGTGTCACACTGCTCGGTTTCCACTTTTTGCAAGCTTGGGGCTTAGGGTTTGTTAGAATGTGCTTTGCAGTTACTGGTTGAGAGAACTCCGAGGGGTCGGGTGAATAAGCCCCAAACCCTACTAGTAGCATCCTTTAGCCCTAAACCCACTAAACCCCCTAAAACCACTAAACGCCTAAACCCCCTGTAAGGCCCCCTATGGCCTGGTATCGTTCCCACTCAGAGGAGTCCTTGGCGCAGGTCTGGGAGGATTTATGGCTTGGGGTTTGGGGTTTAGGGTCCAGGGAACGAGACGTGGCTTTTAGTCGTCGGGGCAATCTATGTCCCTGAACACTGGGAGATATACCAAAAACAAAGGACCAACGTCGTCAAGCATCTGCCCAGAACCAGCGACCGGACGGGTGACCTCAGATCGGATGTTCTCAGGCTCTGGACTTCAGGCGAGAAGGTCGTCAGGGGTGACTCGGGGGTTGCCGAAGATCGGAGGACCCATTTCTATAGTGTTTCGGGTGTATATTCAGGAGACCCCTGTGTTGCATTGGCCCCCAAGACGAACCCTTTTTTCATCTGAACTAAGTTAAGGTTTTGGGCTTGGGCCCATGTTGCAGCTGCGCGGCTGAAAAACAGTCGCCCTTCCTGACTGCACTGCCTGAGCTTGGCACGCTCCAAAATATGGTCCCTCTGCCCAGGTTGCTGTTAAGCATGAGCAAACAGCATAAGCAAATACACAATATGGTCTAACTGTAACTGAAAGTATGTCCATGTTATGGTAGCCGGGTTTAAGTTCGCTAGCAGGCAACCCAATTTGGTCACCTAAAATTAGCTCCGGTCCGTACTACCAGAGGCATCCTAGATGGAACCATAATTTTCAACAATCCCCCCCGACGTCGTTTGAAATCCCTTGGCTTGAACCCCACTCCCGGACGCAGTTGAGAGGAAACGAAAGAACAGCAGAAACCCCTTCAGAAGCTCTCCACTGAAGTAGGAAGCTGCACATATGTTAAACAAATATTAAGCACACATGTTATACATATGTTCTACATATGTATATATGTATATATGCTATATGTTATACATATGTTCTAGATGGGATATACATAGGTTCTACATGTGTTATACATATGTAGAACCTAAGTTATACACATGTAATACAAAGGTTATACATATGTTATACATATGTTAGTTATACATATGTTACACATATGTTATACATATGTTATACATATGTTAACCATATGTATTACATATGTATAACATATGTTATGTTATACATATGTTATACATATGTTATACATATGTTATACATATGTCAAACATATGATATACCTGTGTTAGACATCTGTTAGACATCTGCTAGAACATATGTTTGACATATGCTATACATATGTTAGACATGTAATGTATTACACACATAGTAGACATATACATATATACATATATATGGGTCACCGCCTATAGCGGTTCCCCTGTGCTTAAGCCATTCAACCATTATACCAATGAACCATTACGGTGCACGCATTTGATAAGAAATCGTTCCAAACAAGAAATTAGACCCTGGAGGAGTGCCCCTGTTTCTTAACCAGGGCCTGGCACAAGGCAAATTTCTTATTCCCAGGCCTTGTGTATGGTTTGGGGGGGGGGGGGGGGGGGGGGGGGGGCGGTCACGGAAAACGGGGGGTCACCGGGGAGAGTTCAACGACACCGTTTTTGAGGTTTTGGGGGCTGAAAATTCCGAAAACGATGTCGTTGAACTCTGGGGTGGGGGGGTCACGGCCCCAACGGCGAATCCATTTGGTTGAGAGGCGTTATAACCAGCACTTCTCCCCGTGGCCTAATGGCTAAGGCGTCGGGATTGGAATGTAAAGTCGCAGGCTCGACTCCTGCCGGTGTCAATGGGGTTCAACGACACCGTTTTTGAGGTTTTGGGAGCTGAAAACTCGAAAATAGATGTCGTTGAACTCTGGGGCGCACCGGGGACAGTTCAAC